ATCTAGTGCCAAGGTCAAGAATGAGTAGGAGCTATACCTCCTCTTCCCACAAGCGCCTATAGTGGGACGGCTTTACTTTACTTTTACATCAATAAGTTGGTTGCTACAATTCTTTCATCCTCATACTGGTAATTTGCGGTTTCCAGCATGGAAACGCCGAGTTGTGTCACGAAGCGAGAAACTCTTAACAAACTTTCATTCTCTACTCTTCATTTTCATTTGCTGTCCTCTGTTGTTATAAATGATTTGTGTACTTCAACCAGCAGTTCAGGGCTCCATTCTGACAAAAGCTGACGCAAGTGCGACGAGCGTGCTTGGTGTAAAATTGCAACGTGGTGCAGGCTGAGTAAACGCTTCTTGTGGAACTGTGATGCCAGCTTACAGCTTACTCCTGATTCCAACTCATCTTCTAAACATTGACATTAGAATACTGAATGTTCATACAGATTGAGGGTTTTGATTCAAAAAGCGTGTACTCGGTAATAATAGTGCAGCGTATTAGGTAATGCAAGAGTCAGCTTTTATTGCACTACTGTTTCCGCTTCCAGAATCTTCTTTTTTTCCTTCCTCAGCCTGTGCTGGTGACATAACAATACCAGTTATCACAATCACCGTTTAAAATCACTATTATCCATAGATAATGTTCACTGGAATCACAGAAATCAGTCATTTCTTTTGTGTAGCAATAGTAAATATATTTTTTTATGTGTTTCCCTGTTGCAAAGACAAGGGAACTGAAATACATACAGCAGAGCCCCTCATCCCAGCATCGACTTAATTCAAGTAGAACTAAATCCATGCAGGTGATAGGACACCGCACTCAGAGATACATAAGCTCACAGTCTCGATTTGTTAGCAGGAAGTACTACCACAACAGTGGAATGAATTAATTGTTATCCCTATCCATAAAACAGGATAAAACTGATTGCAGTAACATCCGAGGTATCTCTCTTTTGTCAGCGTCATACACAATTTTATCAAATATTCTTCCGGCGCGGTTAACGAAATTTAGCGGGCACGATAGTTATAAGTAACACATCTTTTGAAAATGTTTAAAAATTTAAGTATCTGGGAACAACAATAACAAATAGAAATGAGGTCCAAGATGAAATTAAGAGTAGAATACTTTTGGGAAATGCTTGTATTTATTCTATCCAAAAACTACAATCATCTCGTTTAATATCCAAAACACTGAAGATCAGGATATATAAACAATAATTTTTCCTGTTGTCTTATATGGTTATAAAACATGAACTCTTACTTTGAAGGAAGAACGTAGATTACAAGTGTTTGAAAACGGTGCTCAGGACGACATTTGGACCTAGGAGGGATGAAATACGTGGGGGAATTTATAATACTGTATAACGAGGAGCTGCGTGAATGGTACGGGACACCTGGAACAGTGAAATCTGGGAGGCTTTGATTGGCTGGACTTGTAGCGCACATTGGGGAGCAAACATATCTTTGTTGGGAAATCCTGGAAAATGACAACTGGGCAGACCAAGAAGGGAGATGGGAGGATAATATCAAGATGGATCTTAGGGAGGTAGGCTGGAAGGATGGCATATTGATGCAGTTGGCTCAGGATTGTGGCTGGTGGCGGACTTTGGTGTTGAATCTGCTGGTTCTGCTAGTTAGTTACATGACTAGGAGATCCCACCCTTCATAATTTTGAACATGTTTGTAATTTGTTTGTGATAGGACCTGTTGCAAGACTTCATTAATGCGTCAGAATGGGACCTGATCATTGATGAGTGTGATCCAGATTACATGCCAGAAGAGGCAAAGGGAGAAATCCTGGGCCTTCGTAACATTCATGTTTTTGGGCTGGCCAACGTTGTCAAGCGTCCCATAATTCTGCTCGACTCTGCAGCCGGCATGAACTGTTCAGGAGATTATTCAGGTGAGGTTGAGTGGCCTGTAATTTTCTGTTGACATTTTGAGGGTAAATAGCATTTCATAGTGCTGTAGAAAATTTTAAGTGCTATTGCTTCAACGCCGTCAAAGTTCACATAACGTCTTACGTGTTTCTTGTCATAGTAACAGTACAACAGAGAAGGATCTGAATTGCTACTCTTCATTTCAGAATTTTTCCAGAAGTGATTGAAGTCGTTTGGTGTAATTACCTTTAATAAACTGTTAATAACTTACGTTGTTACTCCTCACCAGTTATGTAAAGTACGTGGAAAGTTTAAGTCTGTCGCCAACACCCTCCTCCTTTTATTCTTCATGCATTGTGCCTTTGTATGAAGGATAGGTCAGGGACAGAAGTTTTCAGTCTTTTGCGCCTTCTCACAATTTGAAGTCCATCACTTCTGATCACGTCTCTTTCACTTCACATGACTCAACCATATAAGTAGATTTCCTTCAAAATCTTGTTGTAATCTATTATCATTTATTCATTGCCCTAATTTTTAAATCTACCACTTTCTTCTCCTAACTCCTTAAGAAGCCAATGAATGCTTATCAACTCGACAAATATCCAGTCTTTTATGGGGCATGACAAGAGACCACCACTGGATGCCGTCATGAGTCAGACGAATGCAATTCACA